CCGGCTCAGGGACACAAGACCCCTAACCCTGCGGGACTGCCTGGCCATCTGCCTTGCGCCGGCGGCTCCTGCCATCTGCTGCTGACAGCCCCCCACGCCAGCAGCCTAGTTCCCTGGGCTCCCCAGATGGGAGGGGGGTCCTCCGAGCGCGCGCACGCCCCCTGCCACGCTGTCCCTGCGGCAGCGACAACTCGCGGTGGGGAGGCCATCCAAGATGGCTGCTGTGGGACCGGCCACGCGCACGGTCGCTAGGTAACCAGGTGGCACCGACCCCTGCGCCCCTCATGCTCCCTTGCTCCTCGTTCTTGGCTTCTCCAGGAGCAGAGCAGGGCTCTGGGGTCAGAGGTGACCACCGGCTGCAGAGCGGGGCGCTGGGGTCAGAGGCGACCACGGGCCCCTGCCCTGGAACTCACAGTCCAGCTGGGAAGAAATGGTCAATAGTCTGGTGCCGGCCTTGCATGTCTGTGCTCTTCTGGTCTGTCCCTTCTGCACAGGCCTCTGACCCATCAGGACGGCAATAACCCCATTATCGCTACGTGTGCAGAGGATGGAGGTCCCTTCGCTTCCCATTCTTAAAGCTCTGTAGGTACCTGGGTTGCCTTCCTGATCAGATGAGAAAGCTGGGGCTCAGAGAGGCTGAGTGATCTGGCCAAGGTCACGCAGCTGGCCATGAGCAGAGCAAGCCTCTGAGTGTCAGTTACATGTTGCTTCCCTCGCCGCCGCCGAGTTGTCTGAAATCTCCTCCCTCGAGCCCACAGCCTTTGTTAGCTGTGCCCCTGTGTGTTTCCTGGAATAGCATTTGTCAGCCATTGCAATGAACTGCTCACTTGCTTGCTTTATTCTCTCCTTGTGATCCGGGCCTGGGTTTGCCTTGCTCACCTCTCCATCCTCTGACCCAGCAGTGCTCTGCATCACAGGCACCTCCATGAGTATTTGTCAGGCATCTGGATGAGATCCCCATACAGTGACTTCACGCCATGGGCCCCTGCCGTCTGGACCCAGGGCATCTTGTGGGTCATTTTCTCAGAAGTCCCGCCTTCTCTCTGCGGCCTCAGCTACAGACTTTGACTTGGGTGCCCCTAGATTTCCTCCTCCTGTGTCCATCCCGTTCACCGAGCTTCTTCCGTGTCCCAGGCACCGGAATGGGTGAAAGGAGGTGTGCAGGCAAAGGAGGGGGCTCTGCAGCCTTTACGGTGCTGCACTCAGACTTGGGATGTAAGATTAATAAGATGAGAGGGGATCCTGGGAGGGTGGGTGGAGGTCCACCAAGAAGTGCGGGGACCTCAAGCAGGTCCTCTCTCCGCTCAGGCCTGCAGGCGTCTGGCTTGCAAAAATGATGGTGTTTGGAGAGAAGGAGCCGGCAGCTCCCACCCAGCCCTAAGATGTAATCGCTCTAAGGGTGCACTCAGGGGCTGGGCGGGCGCAGGCTTTGGGGCCCACCGGGCTTCAGGAAGGGACGGCGCCTGTGGTTCCAGTGAGGAACCTGCAGAGCAGGGGGGCTGTAATCCAGCAGCGGGAGAATGTTTAGGATGCTCTTCACATTCTGGGAGTTTCCTGCTCCCAGGGAGACGGGAATAGGAAGGTGCCCACAGGCAGGGAGCATCCTTTCCGCATCCTCGCTTTCTTCCAGGAAGCGGAGAGGACCACCCGAGCAGAGAGACCTCAGACGCCCCTCATGCTCCCTTGCTCCTCGTTCTTGGCTTCACCAGGAGCAGAGCAGGGCTCTGGGGTCAGAGGTGACCACGGGCCCCTGCCCTGGAACTCACAGTCCAGCTGGGAAGAAATGGGCAATAGTCTGGTGCCGGCCTTGCATGTCTGTGCTCTTCTGGTCTGTCCCTTCTGCACAGGCCTCTGACCCATCAGGACGGCAATAACCCCATTATCGCTACGTGTGCAGAGGATGGAGGTCCCTTCGCTTCCCATTCTTAAAGCTCTGTAGGTACCTGGGTTGCCTTCCTGATCAGATGAGAAAGCTGGGGCTCAGAGAGGCTGAGTGATCTGGCCAAGGTCACGCAGCTGGCCATGAGCAGAGCAAGCCTCTGAGTGTCAGTTACATGTTGCTTCCCTCGCCGCCGCCGAGTTGTCTGAAATCTCCTCCCTCGAGCCCACAGCCTTTGTTAGCTGTGCCCCTGTGTGTTTCCTGGAATAGCATTTGTCAGCCATTGCAATGAACTGCTCACTTGCTTGCTTTATTCTCTCCTTGTGATCCGGGCCTGGGTTTGCCTTGCTCACCTCTCCATCCTCTGACCCAGCAGTGCTCTGCATCACAGGCACCTCCATGAGTATTTGTCAGGCATCTGGATGAGATCCCCATACAGTGACTTCACGCCATGGGCCCCTGCCGTCTGGACCCAGGGCATCTTGTGGGTCATTTTCTCAGAAGTCCCGCCTTCTCTCTGCGGCCTCAGCTACAGACTTTGACTTGGGTGCCCCTAGATTTCCTCCTCCTGTGTCCATCCCGTTCACCGAGCTTCTTCCGTGTCCCAGGCACCGGAATGGGTGAAAGGAGGTGTGCAGGCAAAGGAGGGGGCTCTGCAGCCTTTACGGTGCTGCACTCAGACTTGGGATGTAAGATTAATAAGATGAGAGGGGATCCTGGGAGGGTGGGTGGAGGTCCACCAAGAAGTGCGGGGACCTCAAGCAGGTCCTCTCTCCGCTCAGGCCTGCAGGCGTCTGGCTTGCAAAAATGATGGTGTTTGGAGAGAAGGAGCCGGCAGCTCCCACCCAGCCCTAAGATGTAATCGCTCTAAGGGTGCACTCAGGGGCTGGGCGGGCGCAGGCTTTGGGGCCCACCGGGCTTCAGGAAGGGACGGCGCCTGTGGTTCCAGTGAGGAACCTGCAGAGCAGGGGGGCTGTAATCCAGCAGCGGGAGAATGTTTAGGATGCTCTTCACATTCTGGGAGTTTCCTGCTCCCAGGGAGACGGGAATAGGAAGGTGCCCACAGGCAGGGAGCATCCTTTCCGCATCCTCGCTTTCTTCCAGGAAGCGGAGAGGACCACCCGAGCAGAGAGACCTCAGAGCGGGTGCAACTGCTCTGCTCTCGGGCGCCACGGAGTGCATGTGGCTTCCGCATCCTCCCACTCGGGCAGTATTAGATGCACTTAGTTGGAGTATAATCACGGGTAGAACCTTTCACCTGAGGTTAAAGGTGAAAAAAATCAGCAGCAGTGAGTCATTAAAGAAAAATACTGCCCGGCCAGCGTGGCTCAGGGGTTGAGCATCAACCTATGAACCAGGAGGTTGAGGTTCAATTCCCGGGCAGGGCACATGCCCAGGTTGTGGGCTCAATCCCCAGTGGGGGGCGTGCAGGAGGCAGCTGATCAATGATTCTCTCTCATCATTGATGTTTCTATCTCTCCCTCTCCCTTCCTCTCTGAAATCAAGAAAAAAAAATTTTTTTAAACTATGCAAGTTAGCCTAGAAAGTGAAAAATTAAATTAGAATACGTAACAAATCTACACCTAATCATAAGAAGTTCAAAGTTATTCCGTTTCTGGTTAACTACTATTAATTTGTGAAATCTTTTCATAGACAGATTACATAACCTGTGAGTTGATTCTTTCAAGTGGATAACATATTCAAGGGAACTTGTCTGAATTGTTACAGATTGGTAGTATTTTATCATTTTTACAGGCTGACTCCACCATCTCGGTAGAAACCAATAGAATTTTTTTGGATGAATAAGAACGTCACCCAGCCTAAGATATTGATTAAGAAATCCAAACCCCAATTGACCTTGAGGGTTGGCATGTGGACAAGGATCGTGTTGTCACCTGGGTGTTTTAACGTTAACAGAAGGGAGGGGGTGGAGGCGGGGACGGGGGAGACAGGCAGAAGGCGGTACCCCCATGCCCTCCTGATTGGAGACACGACCCACCTCCCACACAGCCCTCTGCCTGGACGGGAGGAGAGGGTGTGGCAGACAGCCCTGCGAGTGCAATGCCCTTTGAGGGAGTGATTCCTCACCCAGGTTCAGCCTTCCGGCCCATCACTGGGCCTCCTGCCTGGCCACGCCCATAAGGAAGGAATGTGTGGACGACCAGCTCAAAGCCAAACCGCTAGCTCTGCTGTTCAGCTCCTGAGTGCGCGGCTGCCTGGGCAGACACCTCGTCTTGGGCCCCAAGGGTCAGGGGCGTGGAGCCGAGTCAGAGCCAACAGCACTGCCAGGCTGGCCATCTGGGCTGTGGACTTGGCTTCTCTGCGGAACTGCTGTTCCTTAAAGGGCTGGAGCAGGACCCAGCAGTCTAAGAACGCAGGGCAAGCCCAGTGCCTGGCGCAGGAGGGCGCGCAGTCCTGTTCCCCCCTGGCTGGCCCCATCCGGAGACCAGGGCAGCAGACTCCTTCTGAGCTCTTTCAAACCGCAGTTGTTTTAACCAGTTTCCAGGTTAATGCCTTCGTTGTCATTGTTAATCTTTAGCCAGGGTTAAAGGTCCTTGTTACCAAGTCCCTGATAAAGCACATTCCCTGCCAACTTATTTTCGGTGAAATTATGGAAAATTCTTTTTTCCAACAGTGAAACAGGTGCCTGGCAGGGAGCTAAAAGCTTGAAAGGAAGTTTCTCTTGAGGAAAAATTATTGTCCTTGCACATTTCTGGTCATCGTTTTGGCTCAGGCAGCAAAGCTCCATTCCATTCCTCCCCCACCCCCATCCCCGCCACGGCCACGGCATTTACGGGCTGGACTTCAGCCACTGGGACAGCAGCCTCCTGGCCTGGCCCTGGCTCGGTAGGGATGACCCTCCCTCTGCCTGCAGTTCACAGTTGATCCGGGGCCATAAAGCCTCTTGCACACTTCAGCTTGCCACTCCCACCAGCTGTGTGAGCGAACTCTGATCCCCATCCTGCAGATGGGAAAACTGACTCAGCGATGTGAAGTCTCTCTCGGTGACATGCCTAGACAGGAAGGGGCAGAATCAGGACAACATCCACACTGCTGTGGTCGAAGTCCAGTTCTGATCCCATGGGTGGTCAGGGAAGGCACCCAGGGCTGAGGGCCACAGGGCGGGGAGCCCTCAACGGGGCCCAGCAGCCAGCGGGAGTGGCCATAGAGTCACCAGAATGTATATATTGCCCCACAGAGGGTAAGAATCTCCCCGTAACGGGTAGGGCATGTAGTCATTACTTATCATTTTTATATTCTTTCAAACATAGTGTTTCCCAAATGTAACTAACCATTGGGTACCCCTGGTATACTTCTTCAAAGCCAGGTTCCCGGGCCCACCCAGCTCTGTTGAGCCGGGATTTCCGGGGAGATCTCTTTTGGTCACAGCCACCTCTCCAGGGAGCAGGGATTCTGGGGCCAACGGCTGAGGGTCACACTTGGGCACCGACGCTTACTTGAGCAAGTTAGCTAACCGCCCTGGTAGCCGAACTGTTATGAGGGTTAGAGGAGATAATATCAGGCAAGCTCTTAGAAAACGTGGTTCTTAGATGCTAGTGAATATTATTAGGCAGCGTCCTAACTCTGCTGATAAAGGCTCAGAAACCTGGAGTGTGGGCTGACCCCTGCCAGGTCGCAGAGGCCGGCTCGCAGAGTGGGTGGGGCTGCAATCCAAACTCAGGCCTGCTGCCCCCAGGGCACACCCTCCCCTCACCACCCACCCTCGGTTCCAAGTTACAGGACAGACAGGGAGGTGCCCCTTGGAGCCAGGAACTCAAGTTCAGCTAACCAGCTGGTTCAGGAAACTTAGAAACTGAACAGGTCACGGATGACTAACTGGAGCTGCCCGAGGGCTGCTGTGTCGTGGGGGGCGGTCCCTGCCCTTGCACGGCTGTGATGACTGTCACATCTAACCTGTAAGGAAGGCACGGTGCTTCCCAGGATGGTTCGTGAAGACTGGGATATAACTTTAAAAGTGACTTGCTTGACTTAGAGGCCACTGTAGGTTAACTGCCCTCATCACACTCTTGTGTCTTAGGGGACAGGGAGGCCCCAGGAGAGAGGAGACGGACTGACAGAATGGCCAGTGGGTGGGCAGCCAGAGCAACACATTGATCCATTAAGTCCCCATCCTTTATGGGTGCTGTCCCTGCTGCCCAAAACAGTTACAACAACATCAGAGACCACGGATCCCAGGTCCCCGTCACAGGTGGAATAAGGACGAGAAAGTCTGCAAATGGCGACAGTTACCAAACTGACACAGACTGAAGGGCTAATGCTCCTGGGAGAATGGGCCCCTCATCTTGCTCCACGAGGGCTGCCGCGAACCGTCAACTTGTAAAAAAAGCCCGCCGATGCACCGTGAGAGGAGGGACGCCTGTATTTCCGCATCAAGGAGCCCTCCTCCCACCAGCCACTGCCCTCTAAGTCTCTGTTCAGGAGCCTCACAGCCGCTCCCGCTCCTCGCACCCGCTTCCATCACTCCTTCAGCTGTGAACACTGACCCTGCTGGAAATCAGAAAGCTGCCCGCGTGATGTGTACAGCACAACACTTTTCTGTTGACTCCTGCAGGTCCTCACCCACTGGTGACCGGTCAGTGGGCTCCTCTCCTCGGGGCTGGGGGCGGGGGGGGGGGGGGGGCTTCACTCAGCCCACCTGTGCTGTGCGGGGCCGCCATCCTGCCTCTTTCACGGCTGCTCTGAATTTCCGAAGCTGATTCCTATCCCTGCAGAGCCTCCGGGAAATGTGGCAGAAAGATGCCCCCCTCCACCCCACTGATAAAGCGAGCGACCTCATCCTGGAACACATTCTTCGGTGCCCTGTGCAGCCCATCCCGTGAGGTGTGGCACTGTCCCTGACCCTGGCCACGCCTGCTGTCCCCAGCATCCCACGAGGCTGGGTAACAGAATGACTCCCCGGTGGACCCCGGGAAGTTCCTCGTTGAGAAGCGCCTGTTGTAAAACTGGGAAGGAAGCCACAGGCCCCAGAATGGAATCACTTGGGCTAAGCCCACGACACCAAACCAGAACTTCATACCTGACCTAGTTGCCGTCTGGACCCTCCCCAGGGATGGAATCCTAACTGGTTGGTCTGGAATTTCCTGGTCAGCACCTATGAGGTCACGAGGTCATCTGCCCAGTCGCTCCCTTTCCAGCCCCCAGGGAAGAAGAGTTCATCCTTCCTTTCCGATCCCCTCCCCCTGCTGCCCATAAGGCCTCCCACTTTGGACAGCTCCCCAGGGCTCCTCTGCTTGCTAGAGGCTGCTGCCCTGTTCCCCAACCATTCAATAGCCACCTAGGTCTTCATCTACTCAGGTCAGTTGTCATTTAACAACCGTCACCGTTCACTGTCATCACCGTTCACTGTCGTGAAATACTGTCAGGACCATGAGGTGCTTCAGGACACCTCTCTCATTTCAAACTTTCTGGGGGAGGGGGAGCAGCAGGTTGCCCGCCCTCGAGGCCTGGGATGCTGGGCTCCTTCTGGGTAAACAGCCTGCAGGGAAACTACATCCCCACCCCCACCCCCACTGCCCCGC